CTCGAATTGGGCTTGCCCACACTAAAGGCACGCGTAATGGACGCTCAACGTAATTTTCTGGAGAAATTGTTGCAAGAACGCAAAGACATGGAGGACGACCCTTTCATATTCATGTGGAAAACTTGTGCAGATGCTAAGACAAAAGCGTCAACGTACTATCAGAAAGTGTTAGCAACATCCGATCATATTTACTTGGACATTGAAAACCTAAAAGATCAACTTAAAAATTCGAATCAAACAAAAGCAACGACTTATTTAGAAATGAACCCCAATCTGGAAGTGTGGGATATGTACGCAAACCGCTTCGATATCCCGGAATATCTACGTATAGCTACTACTAGGTTTAGGCTAAGTTCTCATAGATTGGCAATCGAAACGGGTCGTTGGTGTCGTAAAGAGAGGAACGAACGTGTCTGCAAGTGTGGTGAAATGCAAACAGAGCTACATGTTATAAGCAAATGCGAGCTCACATCAGCGATGCGTTCAGCCTACCCTGAACTGGTATATACGTCCTTAGGGGATCTATTTTCAAAGAACAATTTGCACTTAGTCGTTTCATATGTATACAAGGTCTTGAAAATATCAGAAACGTAGCTTTTAAAAACGGTGTACCGAACTATAAGTTTTTGTCATGGTAGTGTATTGCGCTACATATTATACTTGTTATGCCTTTATTGATCATTTATCCCTGTATGTAATGTTCTGCTCGCTTATTATTATGTAATCATACGCATACGGTGATGATAATAAACTACTACTACTACTACTACTATGCCCCCCGTGTTCTGTAGATATGTTTGATATTTATAAACAAAAAGGAGTAGTTACCGCGTAGAAAAGAAAAAAAAAGAACAGACTTTCTTACGTACTTAATTTAATTACAGGATGGAGGTCTCTGATCTTTCAGCGGGAACTGACAATCTCTCACTCAGTGAGATGAAAATATCTTTATCTGATGACATCGCAACGCCAAAAGTTACCAATGATACTGAAAAATCTTTGGAGGAGTGCGATGCAACGGAACCGATGTAAGTCAACTAGAAGACGAAAATGTAACGGTCAGCTTCTGTGTAAATCGCATGTAAAGAAAATCGAAGATGGCTGCAATTTGCCATTAGACATGGGTTCTTACTACTGTCATTTGTATGCGATTATCATCTTTTAAAGTATTTGGTGTAATTTACAATTAACACATTTTGTGATAGAATTTTATGCCTGAGCCTTTTTCATAAGTACATAACTACAAAAAAATAATAAGTGTGTCTGATTAATATAATTCATGAATGTTTAAACATATTTGCGCTGTATAATCATATTAAAAGTCAGCCAAAGTTTCGGTCTTTCCACTAGACGTTAGTTACGACATTGTCTATGCATAATATGCTATTTTCTGTTCTGTCGTGTACCTTTTTATTCTCAACGTTGTGTTTGTAAATAAAGGTATCATTATACATATCAATAAATGAGTAATTTTAATTCCATTATTATCATGATTTATTTTGTTTCATTTTAATTTTTTCCTCTTAAAAGCCCTGCATTGCCCGGACATCAAAATTATTTTATCTTTCCAGTGGTGTACTTTATCGAGACAAGTATCGTGCATTTTTGACTCACAGTGACATTGATGCTGAGTTTGTGGAAAGTGTCATGGACACATTGGAGAAAAGAGGAATCAGTTGCTGCTACTCCAAAAAAGATTTCCGTCCAGGTACTTCAACGGTGTCTTGTATTAATGAAGCTATGGACAGGAGCAAGTTTGTTATCTGCTTTCTTTCAAAAGATTTTCTTACAAGTCCTTGGTGCAAGCATGAAAGAGAAATGGCGTTGCATAAAGCTGCCGAGACGAGTGAAGACATCATTGTTCCTATCCTGATGGACGCGTCTCTTGAGGATTTACCCATGAATATGCGTCGCTTAACTCATATCAGATATGAGGACATCGACTTTGAAAAGAAGTTGTTTTTTTCGCTTGGATGTGAGTATTGCATTTAGTACAGATTTTCGGTACATTTTTAATAGTCCAGGCAATCTAAGCCATTTCAGGGCCAAATCTCAAAGTAATTGCAACAGTTATTATTTTACCACAAAATGACATACTAAAAGTCCTAGGAATCCTAGCGTGCGAAATAGAAAAAAAAGATGGCCGTCAATGTCATAGGAATGTATGGACAGCATGGGTATCAACTACAAGCAGAGAGATAAATTATCCATAATCAGATTTAGATTGTTCATCAGTGTTTTCTATATCTTTAATGCCTCTATAATATATTTATGAAAGCTTAAAGTTGTGTTTCCCTCAGCACTTTGAGAAAATCCAAGATGGCTGCCGTTTTCTGTAGAAATTTATGGGTTTAAACTAAGAAAAAACCTGAGAGATAATGTTCATTATCAAATAAAGTTTGTTTTAAAGTGTTTTCCAAACCCTTATTACCCTTTTGATATATAGCTGGTGGGTAACAAGTGGATTACAGTGAGAAAATTCCAAGGTGGCTGCAGTTTGTCACTAGACATGGGTTCTTACTACTGTCAGGTAGACACAGTGTCCATTCTCAAATTAAGTTTGTTTCTCAGTGATTTCCTCTCCCTTTTTACTCTTTTAATATATATATATTTGTCGGGATATAAGCATGTTTCAAGAGGATTTTTTAAAATCCAAAATGGTCACCATTAACCATTAGAATATATGGATTTTAACTACTCCCAAGGATCTTCATTGTCTGCTATCAAAGGCAGCTCCTATCTGAGTGTTTTCCACATCTTTATTATTCATATAATATATATATGCGGTTTGTATCAATTATGTATGGTTGGGCACTTAGTTAAAATCCAAGATGGTCTCGATTAGTCAAAGAAATACACGGACATGAGCATCTTCTCCAAGGAGATACAGAAATAAAAGTTAGTGTGTTCATTAGTGTTTTCCACAGTTTTAATATTCCCATGATATATATATATGAAGTGGATTACAATTGGTATGCTAGAGCATTTGGAGAAAATTCAAGATGGCCTCCATTTGCCACAAGAATACTAGTTCATTGGGGTTTCAATTACTGCCGGGCACCCTGAGCTTCAGAGATAACTTGACACTAACCTCTTCACTATAGCCTATCTTCATCGTGTCAAGTTACCTCTGACGAAAATAGTTTGACCTAGTTTATATAAGCCAATCGAATCCATGTTTCAAAATTTTTCACCAAAGTTTGGTGAAAACGCTGATTGGTTGATCGTCAATCGGCAATCCTCGGCTGATTCCGCAAGCTCCATACTAACAACATAGTTATTGTCGAGTGCGGAGACATCCGAGTAGTTCCGAGTGGTTCCGAGTGCATAACCGTACACAAAGAAAGCACGGAGTATATCGGAATTGAAACCAGAGCAGTATGATGCCCTGCATCATTATCTACTGAGGGATGATGTATTTTGCGTGCTGCCCACAGGTTACGGCAAGTCCCTGATATTCAGCCTTATCTTTGATTGGTCCGGATTTGAACAAAGCGCGCTTTGACTCGTTCGCGTTCATTGGCTAGATCGTTCAATGAGTCATTGAGTGCGGGCTTTTAATTTGATTGGCGGGCGGCGGGGGCACTCGAATCTGGTCAGAGGTTACTTGACACGATGGAGATAGGCTACACAGTGAAAAGGTTAGTGTCAAGTTAGCTCTGAAGCTCAGGGTGCTGCCGGGGGATATGGTGCTCATAATCAAATTATATCAGTGTTTTCCTCAAATTTATTACCACTTTGATTTAAATCTATTTGGTGCAAGTGTGAATCCTTGAGCATTTTGAGAAAGTCCAAGATGGCTGACATTTGCTATATCAATACAGCTTCATTGGTTTCAATTAACCACGTTCATTCACACATTCAGGCCAGCAAATGGAAAAAGCAACATATTGGAGTAGTATAGGGATCTTGAGGACGCGGTAGACCTTAAACATGAAATAGTGACGATCTAACGGACCTCTCTGCGGGTCCATGGTTCAAGCAATCATAATGGCACAGAAACGTGGCCAGTGGAGAGTGTTTGCGAGGGGACCACTGCTGGCCAGCACCTACTCAACCGTTCTTGATGATCGATGATGATTCTCAGCATAGAGGTCCATTTGAAGAAAACAGAAAAGTGAAAAATGAAGTAAAAGATATGGTCGCAAATTCTACTTTTTTAATCTCTGTTGACAGAAAGTGACAAGTCTGGTGTTTTAAAATATAAATCATTGAAAATCTAAAAAGTCATGCCTCGCTTGTAAGGGAATGAAGTAACATAGTGTGGGGGACCACCCTAAGACCATCCCGGGCCCCCACATTACATAAAATTAACTTTTTAATAATAATACCCAAGGGTTTGGGCACAATGGGCTCACATCTTTAGATAACGCAATCTGTAATACTGCTACAGATTCCTATGCCCCATGTCTTAAATTCTGCACACGGAAAAGAATGGAACGACTCCATGTAACTTCAACACAATATATTATGCTACACTTAAAGTTACATGGTACAAGCCTGACCTGTCTCTTTCTCCTCTCTCCTCCTCCTTCTATCCCGTCCCCCTAGCTTTAAGTTTACAGATTTTTATACTAAACTTTATCAATGAACCTGTCCATCACATAACTTAAAACTGATTGGTTACTTCAGACACAAGTCCACCCACTTGTGTTGGTGGTCACCCCCAATAACTCCATGTAATAAACTCTAACAGATAACCAGTACAAGCTTGAAACAAAGGACACTAAAATTTGAACTGCAAGGTGTGAAGTATTATCTGAAGCTACTTATATAACATGGCTTCCCATTTGTGAATTTTATGAAACAATGGCTTCCTCTGATTGAATTAATACTACATCATGTATAAACGTTGTAAAAGTACTAATTACTCTTTTTTATGCTGTGGTTCCTGACAATAGGTTAAGGCTGTTTAGATAATGAAAGTTTTAAAAATTACAACCTTTTTTAGGATGAAATCCCCATGTTATTAATATTGACAAAAATTAGACTATGCTAAAGAAGCATAAGATATTCAAAATGTACATTTTACTGACACAATTTGGCCTCAACCTGAAGTATATTTTTTCACAATGCCTGGTAACAAAGGTTGTGCAAATTACTTTCTATGAGAATGCAGTTTTGCCGAGTTTTCTCTAAAACATTTGACTGCGTTCTCTCACTGTATTTTCTTGCCAATAATAGGTGGAACTAAACTGAGGCTTTAATTAATGAGTAAAATATTATAAAACATATTATATTATATTATTAAACAACTAAAATGATGATGTGCACCAAAACTCGTAACGAAGGTTTTTCAATTTGTAAAAATCCGGTGACACCATGAAAGTAGCCTCAAGCTATTTGTGATTTATATGAAATATACATTAAAGACATTTTCTGAGACGTTAAACACTATATTGGCTTCCTGGCGAGTTGCAGGGTTTCTACTTTTGTAAAAAATGATATATATCAATTGGAGAAAGTAAGATGGTGCCACGACTGACAGGAACGACGGTTTAAAATTCAGTCCATGTATGTTTTTTGTTTGAGAACAGATAAATCTAGCAATTATTATTATTATTATTATTATTATTATTATTTTAGTCACTAGATTGATGTTCTCTGCTGAAAGGAATAAATCCTTTCAACACGCAACGATGTTGCCCATATATGGCACATATGGACTGTGATGGTGGTCCCAGATGGATTTGTCCATGATCTTGATGTGTGTCCCATGTGAGCAAGTCCAGGTGGCTTGAATTAAGGATCCCATATGGAGCTAATGGAATTTTTACTTTATTATTATTTATTTATTTATTATTTTATTTATCTATTTTTTGCCGATAAAAGGCCACAAATGGGCAACCTTTGGTCCAACTAATCGAAAGTCCAATCTAGTCCAATAAGACTCAAATATGCATTCTTAATAACAGAAACTGGGTATTAAGGATGTGATTAACATTGAAAAACAAACTAACTTTTACTTAATTTCAGAATGGCTTTTGCATCACCCTGCAGGTGTTGAAACCTATATGTAGTATTCATATAGCAAATGGCAGCCATTTTAAGTTTTATTCAAATACCTAAGAATACACACTTGTTACTTTCCACATAATAATTTATGTTATATGGGTAACATGGGTGTGGAGAATACTCTGAATGAAACCTAATTTGTTTTAACATTAAAATGGATAATAATTTCCGAGCAGTAGTTAATTCCAATGTAATCATATGGTAAATGGTAGTAATGTTGAAATTTTCCAAAAAATCCAAAGACACGTGCTTGATACATATTTAAGGTCTAATAATTATGTGGAAAACAATGTGAACCAAACTTTATTTCATAATGGACACCATTTCCGCCAAGCATATATTTAAGTAGTTGAAGCCCATAAATTTCTATAGGAAATGGCAGCCATCTTGAATTATCTCAGATTGCCTGAGGATACATATTATTTGCCAACATTAAAAGGATATTGAAGATACGGAAAATGCTGAGAAGCAATTAAAATTGATAATGGCGATTTTTCTCCCTGGTTGAAGTTGATACCCATATATAACTATGACGTTGGCGGCAATCTTGGATTTTTTCACATTTTCCATGCTGGGATTCCTTGGGACTTTTAGTATATCATTTTGGGGACATCATACAAAAGCACTGTGGTAAAATAAAAATTGTTGCAATTATTTTGGCCTAAAACCATAGATTGCCTAGACTATAAAAGCTTTTTTTATTTTCTAGCCACTTAACAACAGTAAATATAAAAAGTTAAACCAGAATAAGTAAATGTGTTTTATTTTGTTATATTCCGCTTGTGATCATATTTTGAAAGAGGGAGAAGGACCTTGGAGGTACAAATTTACCAAGCTAAGGGGCAAGCTTTACCTAGCGGAAAGAAGGACAAGGGCAACATGACACTGGCTATTTCTTGAAAAGGTTTTTAAAAATCCAGGCAAAATGCTCAGGTGTATATAAGAAATCAAAACGGTGCATTTTACTATAATTATTTATTTATTTATTTATTTATTTATTTTGACAAAATTTCTTATATTTTCAGTTCAAGAGGGAAACTCCCGTCCAACATACGATGATCTAGAGGCTGCTAACGCCAAACTGAACACCGAGTTGTAAGATGCTAAGAAAGTAATCAAACAACAGCAAATGCACATCGAGCAATGCAAAGCTGAGGTGAGCCAGCAGGAATCTGCTATGGCTGCCATGAAACAATATTGTCACGATCGTCAGCAGAGGCTTGATACAAGAGATGGCGAAGTTAAAGTAATGAAGACCAAGTTGGATCATTGTCTGAATGAGAAGGATGAAAATAAGCAACAAGAAAGGAGTGATTCAGCTCTGACCACCACTGTTGAAGATTTGCCGGAAATGCACGAGGACGACATTCAAACCCTTTCTACGGTTTCTCGGAATGTGGTGGGAAGATTTCGTCGCCCGCTTATGTTAGGAGAGAAGTATGCCAAAGAATCAAGGTGGCAAGACGTGATCAATTCTTTGAAAGTTGCAGAGCGCATTTTGAAGGTGGACACAAACAACAGTATCCCAGAAAGAATGGTCTTTCAAATGTTTAATTGTCTGTGGAAAGCTTACAGGAATCTTAAAGACTACCAAGCATCCATCAATTACTGTAACGAAGCTTTATCATATCAGCACAAGTTGTTTGGTCCTGGCTGTATAAATAAAGATGTAGCAAGCTGCTATCACAGTTGCGCCCTCGCACACGAACTGTGGGGAAAGCTCGATGATGCAGTAGAATTGTACAGTACATCTGTTATATATCGCAGAATTCTGTGTGCAATAAACGACCGTGGTGGAGTAAGCAGAGAGAAATTGGGACTTTCTTTGCGATTTTTAGGGCGCACATATTCAAAGAAAGGTGACATGGAAGCTTCCAGCAAATATTTAAACATGGCATTAGAAGAAGAGATCAAGTTACATGGACAGGACGAAACACACCCGAATATCAAGAAAATAAGATCTCTTTTGGACAAAACCAAACACACCTAACACTTAAGAACTAAGCAAAATAATAGCAACAATTAACTATATGTATGTGCTTCAGATTTTTGTTCGAATTGGTCTGATGAAAATGATAGGTCGGGAAAATAATGTCTCCCCTATGTAAACGGTGCATGAAACCTGCAGTCAAAAATGATAAGTACACGCAGATTTATTTTTGATTCAGAAATGTTTACTGTATTAAAAAATAATGAGTTAAACAATGTTCAAAGTTTTCCATATTCTTTGTTGAGCCCAAAATACCGTAACTTAATTTTCATTTGAATTTTTATTTTGGCGGAGTCATTGGTGATATGCAAGACCAGTCAGGGACACGACTGTCAGGGCCTTGAGTTCAGGCCCCAGTTTCACAAAAAAAATCTTGAGTCACTTTCCTGGCTCAGTTGATTTCGGATTTTTTTTTTTTTTTTTTTTTATTTGTATATTCTTTTTTCTTTTTTTTCTTTTTTGGTAAATTATCCAGCTTGCAATTGTTTCTGTTTTTTATCAATTAGAGTGTTTGACATGATACAGAGTGCTAGCTTTGTTTAGATATATTATCAGAACTCTTTAGCTAACTAATGTTCTAAAATTACCTAGATCAGTATGCAACAGTATTTAAGCTCCCCAGCAATGTGCATTGTTAAGTTAATTAATTTACCCAAAAGCTTCAGTGATGTTATTACAAAAAGAATAATGATAAATTGGTATTTGATTTATAATATCATGAAACTTCCCCACCCGGTAGGAAAACATTCGGGTATGATAATATTAACTTTAATTTTATGCGAATTTATTATTCCAATCTGTTACGGAAAGAGCATTTCTCGGTTTTGTTAAAGCTGCCTTAAAAAGTTTTTTTTAATTTTTGAACACTAACATTCTCAGACCTTTCATAGAAACATATCAGACGTAGATAGCGATTCTCATAAGACAAGCGTATATTGAAGATTTTTGGCTTTATTTGGTCCTCAGCATGACCAATAAATTTTATTCTATGCTGTACACGTGTTTTACTACCAGTGTTCTGTTTGTGCCGTTGAGGAATTTCATAAACATATTACTTAAATATTATTTTTTATTTATTCAAATACCTTATTCGTTTTCATTATCATTTGTAGTATTATTATGTTTTATTTCATTTTTTGTCAGTAACGGAATTAAAATTTTCTTGGGGTACAATAATTCCGCGTAGAACAATTATGAATTCTGAAAGAATTTTTGGAGCAGTACAATTATTCTGCCAGTATAATTATTAACTTCCAGGAAATTTTCCAGGTGTTGCCATTATTCCGCCAGTACAATTATTCAGAATTTTGCCCGTACTGTAACGATTATGAAATCTCCGAGAGAGAAAAAACTTCACGTCACCTACAGCTTTCAAAAGACATTCTCGGTTTGAATGATTTTTTTTCTTAAATGCTTAATTCTTTATGATGATTCTAAAACTTTTTAAATGAAAAAAGATTTGGCATAATCAAGGTCTTGTTATTACTATTATTAATGCTCTAGGTATTCAACGTCTGGTCTAATTGAACCCGTGGATTTTAATTTTGTGGTGGTCCAAATGGTCTAAGCTGAAAAGTTTATGGAGCAGACAGGTAAATTCTACTCAACAGTTTGAATGTATTCTTAGAAAAGTCGCTTTTAATACAATACCAATTGTTAAAGGGAAACGCCGTGAATCTCATTTGTGCCCTCGATAAAATCTGTTATCACTTGCGTATTTACTGGATACAGCATCAGACTGATAGTACATTTATATTATATCAAACTGATAATTATATGACAAAACGTCCTACTCTACATTGTCTGTGACGACGGAATACAAATACTCTAGACCTAAAATGTATTCGCAGCTACGTGTATGCTCGGATCCGATTGTACATTAGACTACCTTTAGAAGAAAAAACTAATACATGATGGGACAATTCTTCATATAAACCAATGTATTGTATAGGTAATGTCATTTACAAAACTTTATACCGATGGTTCTTTTTCTACTGAAAATGGCTGACCATACGCAGGCACCAGAGGAAACTGTGCATTCGAACGACATATCTGCAGGAAACAGCGCAGCCGACGGTGAAGACTTCTCCCTTACCTTAAACTCCTCGCACGAAGAAGAACACCCTGAAGTTAAAGACAGCACACCCTATGGCTGCTACTTCTGTCTCAAAGTGTTTGCCTCGTTTCTCTTCGCGACTGCACTGCTTTTTGCCTTAGTGGCCAACAAGGTGACAATATACGCCATATCTCACAGCTTGTCAAACCACTCCTCAGGTTCTGGACCCAATGAATTGACCATCGATACCATCGACCAGAAGATATCAGTGTTTATGTTAATGGTCATCCTGATTATTCCATACGGCCTGGCGTTTCTGCGCTGTCTTTGGAGTTCGGGGGTGCTTCAGACCTTGACGCGGAACCTTTTTTGTTTCTGCTGCTGCGCCAACTTTTCCTGTTCCAGAGCAAAGCGCGACTTGGAGACGCCGTGGCCTTCATGGGGGCGTATAGCTTTGGTCAGTATTATAAAATACAGTGCTTTTATTATGTTTTATAATAACTGTTATTTTTCCTTCCCGGTAAATGATATGGGGATGACCATCTTTATCAAATCGTGATTCTACCTCTCTTGTATGCTTTTCAGGGTGGGACGTTTAAAATGGGGAGTTCATTCATTTCCATACATTGCTGTGGCACACGTATGTCGCTTACTCAAATTATTATCAACGCAGAATATTTTTGACCAGTGATAATAGCACAAGTGTATTGTAACTGAAAACAGAAATTATAGAACATATAATGTAAACCTTCCAGATATCATTGAAACGCTATATCGTGATATACCTTTATATAGTCCATACGTCAATGATAAAACCCAATCTCAACGATAACATACCACGCCACTAGAGCTAGGCCCTGTATATCAGACATCTTTCACATATTCATTATGCAGTACTAGTATATAAAGCACTGGACATGCCCCCCCTTCCCGGCACAGCCCGGCCACCTTTAGTGGTCCCATGCATCTGTTAGCGTACATGTATTGGGCAGGCGTTTGGGATGCACTTCTTTCAACCTGCTTATCACTGTTAATACGAATCATAATATTTGATATTAAATGTTGCATTAAATGAGATAAATCAAAGCAGTGAAAGTCATATCATTATTATTATTGACTGGTTTGTGCTACCAAAAATAAGAGGTTTATTGAGTAATTGTCTTTTGTTATTTAATGTTTGGTTAATGTCTTATAATCAATATGGCCTGTATTTTGATTTATTATAGATAATAGTGACAAGTCTTTTGGAAGTCCTCGGCCTCTGGATCATCCTTCTGTACGTATTCCCTTTCTCAACCGGATTGGAAAGCGTTTTGTCGTCTGCCTTGGTTTTCCTCGGCTGCAACATATCCGATCTTCTCCTTTGGCTCAAAGGGAGATTTTTCCATGACGATCAACAAATCCAGGAGGAGCCCAACGCCCGAACAAAAGCTCTCACCGCCTTGTTTAATACAGTCCCTTTATTTTTAAGTGCAATCGGCCTATTCCTTTTGCTGTTCTTTGATAAGGATATTAGACATGATGGCGAACGCGGAGAGAGTTCCCCTATTGCTTGGGCCCTCCCACTAGGTGTCGCTCTGGTAGCTGTGTCTTGGGTACCAACTATACTACAGTGGCAAGTGACCATTACACCTAAGAAACAATTGCCTATCTCACGCATTCGTTTTCAGTTGCTCGCGGAAGATGAAACTGGAGTTTCCATTTTTCCAGACGGATGTCGCTGGAAAGCTGGCTTGATTTCAAACTTCTTGAAAGTGTTTTTTGTTCCACTTGTCCTGCTCATTCTAGGAGAAATTTATATTCAAAACGATGCCATAATTAACATTGCCCTGTTAATACCACCGAATGAATTTGCCACCTACGTTTTCCACCAAGAGTTTTTCTGGTACTTCCTTATCAATATATTCTCTAGTCTTCTGGGGTATTTATTTGCGTGGGCTACGATTGCGATTTCCTTTGGGTTTACCTGTCGGTTTTGCAAAAGTAAAAGAATTTTCATTTCCGCCCTCTTCTGCCCGCTTATAACCGCCTCGCCATTGGCGGCAATTTTGATCGGCGTAGAGCGCACGTGCTCGGTGATGCTTCCTCCTGAGCAGTGTCATAGTCAGGATGAGTTAAGCTGGGGTTTTATTGCCACCGTCCTGATTCTGGTAGCTAGCTTTGTTTCATGTGGAGTTTGGATAGTCACTACAAGGCCCCGGACTATACTAACAAGCGAGTCTCAGGTGAGAAAAATTGACCGTCTGTTTTGGATTTTACCTGTTTATTCATAATATTATATTAAGAAATTATTTAACATATTCAAAATGCATAGAACTTTCACAACGTCTATAATACATCGCATTTATGCACAGCCCGTTTGTTGAACTATTAAAAAAGTGTTTGTTTTCCTAGATCTTTTGGCATGCTAACTACACTGGTGCGTTGTTGGAGCAATGGCTTTGGCTAAATCGTAAGACAGAGAAAAAAGATCTAACTCCAGTGCCAACTGACAAGGAAAAGAAACATTGTGTTATTTATTTATGTACAACAATGTGTAATGAGGTAGGATACACAGTGTTGTTGTTCGGAATTTCTTTTTTAAACCATAAATAAACATCAAAGTCGCATGGTCAGACAATCAGCTTGAATAACATGTGCTTCTTGAGTTTGTAAAGACAATAATACGTTTCAGCACTGAATTTACGACACTGAAATTGATGGTGATCCCAAAGGAAAATGTGTATGTTCTGTAGTGGAAAATTCCTGTTTTAGTCAGAAGAGGAAATGACCCAACTACTTCTTTCTTTGAAAAATGTCATTGATGGTAGAGACAGAGGATCGCCATTGTTCCACTCTCACATATGGCTAGATGGTGCTTTTGACACCAAGACGAAACCAGAAAGTAATACACTCAGTAGAAACGCACTCCAGTTACTGGGCATAGTAAAATCTGTGTTTGGTAAGTTATTTTTAAAGATGACATACAAAGAAGCTTACCGTCATCAATTAATGTCAAAATTATGTGATTTTCTATTGTAACATGTATTACTAGTACTTTGTTTTAGCAGATAACATCAGAGTGTGGTTGTTTTACTAAAAGTTATTTATTGAAGCAGGTCTTATATCTGTAAGAGTAATAGAAAATCATCTAAATATATTCAAGTACACTTGCAAGGATAGTTGCTGTTCGATTGGAAATTTCTAATTTAATGAAAAAAACCAATTCGACCTATTCCACAAAAAAAAACAAATCTGCAAAGAAAGTCTCTTGGTTGTCGTTAACTATTAGCTCAAAATCTCCACAAAGATGGATTGAACAATCTCTTTATCACTGCGAATATGTTTATGAAAAAACTTAAATGTTTCATATAACACTTATCTTAGATGTCAGTTTAGGGAATGAACCACCTGGTACAGTATCCTACCGTTTTGAGACGAGGAAAACAAGGTACGGTCGCCGCTTTACGTGGACATTTTATGATCTCAATGAGGAACTGGAAGATGTGGATCTAAATGTGCATCTCAAGGACAACAGAAAGGTAATTTTACCTCCATGTTGCTGTTTTAAATATTAGACGGCCTGGTGAATATTTCGAACGGACGCCAAAAACTTTGTCAGGAATTCTAAAATTCTTATGGGCCTATAAAATAATTATCATTTTTTCTTCTTGATGCTATCACTAACGTCGCTTAGATGCAGCACTTTATTCAATTACAACATAAATGTGATCAAATCCACTGGTAGTACCCGTGCTGGCCAGAATTTGAACAGGGAGTCCTTTGCTCCCGTAGACAAACAGAAATGATCCAATTTGTCAAAAGTCTGCCACCAAATGCTATATCCAACAATATGTTTAAGAATTAAAATAAGCAGTAGTTTTGTGTATATTGGAACATGTGCATATAAGTGACGCTCATATGTTTTTAGGATTCCCCATAGGGGAATACTATTGTTTTTGGTAGTATTATAGTTATTATTATTCTTTCCGCGCGTTTTTTTTTCGCAAAAAATCTGAAATAATTAACATAGGTAGCCTATGGTAAAAATATGCTATAGACCCAGTTTTAGATACCTTGACCTACTTTTCAAGGTCATAGGAGCTTTTAAAGGCATATTTTGTAAAATTTGAAATTGCCATTAGGCCTAAAGTATAAGCCATATGGCCAAAGGCCTTATGGCCAATAATACTGAACCAAATCCACAGATAATGACCTACTTTTATGCAAGTAGGTCAAGGTCAAGGTCCCTAATGGCCAAACGGGCTCAAAAAAGGTTTGTTTCCAAGATCTCAAAAACCGGACGGCCCAGAGCCCCGAACATAGTGGCAAATGATGCCCTATATATTTATCTAAGGTTAGCCGTACTTTGGTAGCGACTGCCTAATTACATTTTTTAATATAGATTTTTAAATATTTATAACATTGCAGAAATCTTGAGTTTGGCAATTTCTCCATGAAACACTGGTTTTTGGTCATAGCATGCTATAGTAAACTACCCCAAACATATGCCCAAAACCCCCAAATCAAATGTCAAATNNNNTATACCCAACACCCCCAAATCAAATGTCAAATATGACCTTGAAAATGAGGGTCAAGGTCATTTGGCTATTTCACGGAGAAATATTAAAGTGGGCTAAAAGTGATGTTTTGTTGCCCCCCCCCCCTATTCGCACATGCTCTTTCAGAATATGGGGTCAAATTAAACCCATGACCTTCACATAACCTTGTAAGAGCATTTCCACACCTATTTTGCAGGGGAATCCTCCGCCACTGGCTTTAGCCAGTTGCAGTCTAGTTATTATTCTTTCCGCGCGTTTTTTTTCGCAAAAAATCTGAAATAATTATCATAGGTAGCCTATGGAAAGAATATGCCACAGAACCAGTTTCAGTGCCCTTGACCTACTTTTCAAGGTCACAGGGGCTTTTAAAGGCAAATTTTGTAAAATTTGTAATTGCCATCAGGCCTAAAGTATAAGCCATATGGCTATGGGCCTTATGGCCAGAGATACTGAGGTGAATCCACAGATAATGACCTACTTTTATGCAAGTAGGTCAAGGTCAAGGTCGCTAATGGCCAAACGGGCTCAAAAAAGGTTTGTTTCCGAGATCTCCAAAACCGGAAGGCCCAGAGCCCCAATCATAGTGGCAAATGATGCTCTATATATTTATCTAAGGTAAGCTGTACTTTGGTAGTGACTACATAATTACTTTTTTTAAAATAGATTTTTAAATATTTATAACATTGCAGAAATCTTGAGTTTGGCAATTTCTCCATGAAACACTGGTTTTTGGTCATAGCATGCTATAGTAAACTACCCCAAACATATGCCCAAAACCCCCAAATCAAATGTCAAATTTGACCTTGACCCTCATTTTCAAGGTCATTCGGCTATTTCATGGAGAAATATTGCAGTGGGCTAGAGTGATGTGTTGTTGACACCCCCCCCCCCAATTCGCACATGCTCTTTCAGAATATTGGGTCAAATTTAACCCATGACCTTCACATGACCTTGTAAGAGCATTTCCACACCTATTTTGCAGGGGAATCCTCCGCCACTGACTTCAGCCAGTTGCAGTCTAGTCTTTAATTGTTACTCGAGAGAGAAAGTGGTCAATAGTCAATACTATTTATTTATTCGCTTTAGGTTAAGAAGAAGAAACGTTGGAGCCAGATTATGTACTTATCGTACATCATTGATTTTCTCTGTATAAAAACAGCAAAAAGAACTGGTTTAGATGTGGATGAAAGTAAGCAAATATATATAAGGCATAATGCAACCTGCAGGGTAGTCATTTCACAGAAATACAGTTAGATTCCTCTTCAACACATAAGATTATGATTTAGTGTATTTTAATGCCTGTAATGTTCATATTCGATTTCGACTTCTTTTATTCTGCCCCAACCATTGTGCTTCGTTTCTGTATTTCATCTGCTGTTTGGCTAACTTTGTTCACATTTATAGTTCAATTAATCGCGTTTCAGTTTTGAAGGATACTTTTATCTTGACGACCGACGCTGATGTGAAGTTTGAATTTGCATCGGTAGAGGCTCTCCTTGATGTTTTCCTGCGAGACGAAACCAAGCAGCTTGGAGCCGTTTGTGCCCGAACCCACCCGCTGGGTTCTGTAGCCAACCCTTTAGTATCATACCAGATTTTTGACTACGCTATTGGCCACTGGTTGCAAAAGGTAGACAGCGCCTGTCAGACACGTAATGTTGTTGGTTTGAGCACAAGGCAGAAACGGTGATAATTTACAAGACAAGGAATACCTGCTTAAAAAGTAGTCAAATTTCGCAAGATGATAAATGAAGAAACTCCGTTAAATGCTTTCCTCTCTGCCGTTAAAGGGAACAAACCAGAAAAAGAAAGCCTTATTGGCAGAGAGGGAAAATATTTTTCACAAATATAGATATAAAAAGAATATATTTACAAGTAGCAAAGTGAGACTTATAGAATTAAGAGGTTCTCATGTGCATTGGAGGCAATCATATTATTTTATTATATTCAGGTTGCCAACCACACTCTGGGAAGCGTGCTGTGTGCCCCCGGCTGCTTTAGCATGTACCGAACGGCCATTTTGAAAAACGTCCTACCAGAGTACGGGAGTGACACTAGCTGTGGCACGGAGTTCCTTTACAAAGACATGGGAGAGGACAGATGGCTCTGCACTTTGATGGTATGTGCATTTCTAAATTCAAAAAGGTTTCTTGGTTTGCAATATTTATTACTATTGTAACACTGTGAACCCCCTTCCATGTCATATGTGGTAAAACTTTTATAAAAAAAAGCAGGTAGCTTCACCTGTCACCAAAAGAGATCAATTGAGTTTTCTGTTTCGTGGGAAGACGCGTTGTCTATTGCGCCAAGAGGCCGTGATACTTACAATTTTCAAAAAATGAAATAAAGTGAAATGTTCTTTTTCTGACGAATACGTACTAACATTGTCTTTGTAAAACACAGGTTAACAACGGGGCGTGGCTTGAGTACTGCGCGGCTGCAGAAGACAAAACATTTTGTCCAACTGGGTTTGAGGAATTCTTCAAGCAGCGACGACGTTGGATTGTATCTACTATGGCTAATATGTTCTTACTAATGAGATCATTCGGTACAGTCGTCCGCTGTAACAAACACATCACAAGTTTGTTTATGGTTTACCAGTTTTTGCTGTTCATATCATCCCTCATTGGTCCCGCAACGGTCATTTTAGTAATAGCAGGTACGTTGAATGGAGTCATCCTCGTCATAGTGTTTGTGAAGATAGCGGTTCAATGGTATTATTTCATTTTCTACACTATGAACAAAATATTTGCATTAAGGTGTTTTCCTTGCACATGTACATTTTATATGCAGGTATTTATCTCTTTTCTTCCACTTGTACAGCAAATATTCTTTTCACCTCAGCGCATCGCAATTGGTAAAAGTTCATACTTATAAGGCAAGCATTTCGTTTTTTAGGTGGTTACGAGTACGCTTATGACATTAACAGCGTGATAATTACCATCATTCTCGTCATCCTGGCCGCCATATTACTCGTTGTTTGCTACTTTGCTGCGCACAAAACTCAGATTTTGGTATCTTGGAATTTACGCATATAATTTTGTTTGTGCATATATTATGGATATGATAATATTGTTATAATGGTGATTTTCAACCAGATTACTCACTTAAGATAATACTGAATTGTAAACAAATTACGCATAAATGGTAAAAAACAAATATTTATTCAGTGTTAACAGTTTCTACCTTGTCATGTTGTTGACAAGGTTTGATGAATCTGGGCTTACTTTTGCACAATGCGCTGACTTCTCATAATATTGCATGTGTCTGATTTTCAGTTTGCTGTAGGTCTTAGTATAATTCTTGCCCTGGCCATGGTTGCTGGTTTTATAGGTACCGCCAGACAACTGGTGACTGACTATAACAATATAACGGCTTTCGTTTACCAGGTAGATAAAAACGGTAAGTGGACTTTTCCTTCTGAGGGCTTATATATTATGTCCAGTCTTGTTTAAAGGCTTTTACTATTAAACAATTAATAGCGCCTATTGAATGTGAACATTTGCTGTTATTGTTATTGTTGTTGTTACTGTTATTATTATTATTATTTGCAATTTTTTTAATTTTTGTATGACTCTGTTTGTTTTATTATATCTTTTTACCGGTAAGATCCATGGCAAGTAAATGTTCCCATCAGCTCAATCTATATTACTGTCGTGGTGGGAATATTTGTGATTACAGCATTACTACATCCAACCGAATTCCTGTGTCTCCTGCACGGTAAGTTGCCACGTAGTACGAAAACCAGATTTTAGAACGGAAAGGCGCTGGAGAGATATACAACATTCATAAAGATACAAAAGAAAAGAAGATTGATATCATAAATAGATAAACAAATGTTAAAAGTAGTGTTCAAGCATAACAGTCAAGTTCAATCCCAATAAATAAAAAGACAAAATGTAAGCAAGCATAACGTCAGACAAACATTTCACACATCTTGGAATGAAACGTTTTGGCGAAATACTCCAATGGATTCGAAATATCACAGGTTGATGGTTTCCATATATTTGTTCTTTTTCTTATTGTTAGGAATTACGTACCTATTTTTCCTGCCTGGGGGATATCTGATTTTGATGATTTATAGTATTTGCAACATCACAGACCAATCTTGGGGTGAGTCACGTGATCTGACATCCCATTTACATATAAATAATAATAGAAATTATAATAATAATAATAAGTATTCTCCGATTGTATAGGTATCATTTAGTGCACATAGAACGGGAGTTGTTTTTACCATCTTGAATGTAAAAAAGATGAAATAGAATAGAATGAAACTTGAGATGAGTTAAAAGTTATTGGTAAAATTGCTATTTTTACTGTGAAAAAGATATGTGGCCTTTGGATGGAAGCTTTTAAGAATCGTTC